GCAGGGTCAAAATTCAAAATCATTGGTAAAATGTACAATATCTTCTTCTGCATGAACATCAGCTATGTACAATGTATATATACGTACTACATGTACAATCAAATATGATGTGCATAGATGGAAAGGCCCTTGGAGCTTTATCTAAATTGTTAATATGATTACCCCTGGGATAACTGTTCTCCCTTAGGGAGTACGTACAGTTTAGTTATATTTGATTAGTTTACTGTAGTTTATATAGAGATATCACTTTGTGGCATATTTTATCCATTTTCGATGGGAAATGATTTAGGAGACTTCACAGGAAAGAAGAGAAGAATGTCAACCATATTTGGTTGGAAGTTTTCTCAGGTGGTAGGGATTCAAAAATTATACTAATGGAGGATTTGACCACCGAGGGGGAGGGGGTGACAAAATAATGTTTAACTTGGATATTATCGAGATCCCCACCCAATATCTCTGTATGTAATTGCTGAGCATTAAGAAACGAATACAATCGTGATATTATTATTGACCCTGGTGTCTGACCTCACCCCTAGCGACTTAATGTTTAGGTCATAACTTTGATAAACACAATTATGATATTAGTATTAACTCTTGGATCTGGTCCACCCCTAGGGACATAGTTTATGGTCGATACCTTTGAAATGGTTGAGATCCCCAACCCATAACCATATATACCATTGCTGGGCATAAAGATCAAGGCGAGGGATACAGGCCCTCTGGGTCTCTTGTTTTAATTATCGTTCTTTTTGGGACGTGACAACTAATTAATAATGTGTGGTTATTTCCGGTTGACAAGAAAATACAGAAAGCCTAAAGGCACTAAAGGAAATGAATTATTTCGGACAAACTTTGGATGATCACTGCAATGTTATATTAGCATATAATAGTGATGACGACAAATACAAAAATGAAACAATCCTAAATGCGAACGTTCTATACATCTTTAAAAACCATTACCCTGTTAAGGCTATAAGTGGCATCAAATGGTCACTCTGACATGTCGCCAAACGTTTCAACATTGACTAACATTTTAATTCCTTCGCACTTGAATATATAATTGTTAGGTATATGGTTTATTAAAATAAGAAGAATAATAATGAATAAATATACAACATTTATAAAGCACCTCATTTAATTTGTAAAATTACTCGAAGGCGCTTTACAACATGAAAATAGTATTGCTACAGTGACAGTTATAAAGAAAATAGTCGTGATACATTTTAAATGAAGGGTATCAAATTTTTAAATTGGGGTTCCAGCCCCTACCCCGGGGTAAGGATATATAGGGATTTGAAGGGAAAATAGACCTATATTTCAACAATCTGCTTCAGATTTTGGTGTACTAGTATCAAGTACTGTTCATGGTGTTTATCAAAATTGACCCATAGTCATCAGGTCTTCCTTTGGGAGGGGGTATCGTTTACAGGGTATTAACACTTTCGGGTATATTTTACCCATTTTCAATAGCTAATCATTAAAACCCGGTTGGAAAAAATATGATGAGATGGCAATAACATTGTATCAGAACAGAATGTATCACCTCTGGAGCCAGGGAGGTTGAACCAAAAAGGGACGGAAAGATCCCTTTGTAAATTTCATTACTCCAGGGATTTCTGATCTCAATTTACAATTTGCTATAGTTTATATAGGGAAATAATGTTATTGGCATATTATATTTTTAACTCTACAGGAAATAATTCAAATTTGCTTGAAATAACAGTGAGATATAAATGTGATGCTATCAGAAAGTAAGATTTTGACCAACCCCTTGGGCCGATTTTATAGATTATGTATAATAGGTAAAATCACTTTTGGGTAAATTTTGTCAAATTTCTAACATGTAATATTATTGGCTTTCTGGTATTGTAAAATGATAGTTGAAATTCATTTAAAAATGGTCATACATTGTAATGTATTCATTCCTCAAATAGCATCATTTGATCCGTGATGTTACCTGCCATAACAAGACAAATATTTTTAATTTTACAATAGATATGGATCTTACATGTTATATTATTAGTTTTCTATTTATTAGTATACAATGAGAGTTAAAATTCATTTAAAAATATTCATGTATTGTGATTTATTCCTCCCTAAAACAGATTACAAACAAGACACATGTAATGAACTTGCCGAAGAAGCATTTAAAAACCCTTCATTATCTGTGGCTGGTGTAGCGAAATGTTCAAATACACACGCTGGTATGATTTGTCAAGCGCATTTAAACATTACAATTAATTGTGATGAAATCTGTAATTTATACAATTTACTTAGGCAGGTGTGAATATTTGATTGTTAAGTTAATATCTCAATATGTTGCTCCACATATTTCTTGTTCAGCTTTGAGCAATAATTTAACAATTGTATCTTTTGAAAATGATTTTCTTAGTTGCAAATTTTCATGCGTTTATGATATTTGTGTATATGTGTATATGCTGTCAATAATGTATAGCTCATCTGGCCTGAAGAGGCAGAGTGGTGGGGCCAAATCGGTTAAGTAAAGGAAAATATTGAAAATCCTCCTTTTGTAGTAATTAAAGGATTTTAACCAATTTTTTTCTATAGCATCTTTGGGGGGATTGGTCGAATGGTTAACACTCCGGCCTTCCAAGCAGGCGGCCGGGGTTCGATCCCCGAACACATGGAATATTACAGAAAGTGTTTTTCTCCTGCCCACACAACTCCAACAACCCAGGTGGAGTATAAAATGGTCTGGGGTGGGTGTTGCGGTATCTGTGCTGTAGCATTCAAGTGAGGTGGCACTATAAATGATACCGTTGAAAGCACGGTCCCACTACCAACAGAACACAATACATCTCCAGCACACACACAGGCATACACACATAAGGAGATATTAGCCAGGTGGCATAGGACTAGTAGTTAGCCCCTGATAAGGCAGCTCCTGCGAATTTCTCAATATTGTATTGATTAATATATATGATAATTGAATTGACTGTATTGAATTGTATATCTATGTACTGTAAAGCGCTTTAGAGTGGCTTATGTTAGCTAGATAGGGCGCTATATCAAATGTTGCATATTTTCTTATATTTATTTATTTATACTGTCAAAAACACATGACACTCAAAAGGCAAGGTAAATATTTTGTTATCACATATGGTCATAATCAAACAGGAAGTCAACTTACCAAAGGTTAAAGTCATCGAGTCAAAGGTCAAGGTCAAAATTTTATTTAATTTTAACCGGTAAATATTTTGTTATCATATTATGAAGCAAATTTTGTCAAAATTATTTGGGGGTCTGCATTTGCAGTTAATCATGCTGCCCTTCCGTCTGTCTGTTCTCTGTCCGTCTGTTTGTTCTCTGTCCGTCTGACTGTTCTCTGTCCGTCTGTTTGTTCGTTTGCACTCGGAGATTATCTCAGGAACCAGAAGATCAACTTTCTAAAATTTCACATGGTTATACATTGTGATACAGATATGCAATAGTGGTTTTAAAAAGTCCTTATATTAAGGTAACTGTCACTGGCTGGTACTAAAAATAGAACAGGTGATATACTATCAAAATCGCATTGTATATGGCCGTGTAAATATTGTGGACACCAACTTATTTTTCAAATAAATAACAAACAAACATGATTTACGTTTAATGTTTTACTTTATATCATAATACTTTTCCGGTTTTAAAGCTTTAAATCACACGTTGCATAACTAAATATGGCTTCATCTTCTGTTCCTTTCACACAGTCTTGTTAATACTTTTAATTTTGTGACATTGTGGCAAATGATACAGATCAATACCTGCTCCCAAGAGAAGATAACTCTGCAATACGCAAAGACGGAATAGGTGATGATTAAAACTGTGCAAATGGAGGAGGCTACCCCTTTGGAGAGGGATGAGAAAGGAACGGAAGGTAAAAAGGGATCATTATATGTAATCGATGTAACAGCAAGTCTGATTTCACTACTTTTAAAAATATAGGTATAAAATGTAATATTATTAGCTTTCTGGTATAGTAAAATGAAAATGTAAAATTCATTTAAAAATATTGATACATTGTAATGTATTCCTGTCTCTAATAGCATCATTAAACCCTGGACTTTAAATTAGCATTTATTCCGTGGTGTTACCTGTCACAGCAAGACACATATTTTAAATTTACAATAGATATAGATCTAACATATTATATTATTTACTCTCTGGTATTATACAATAACATTTTAAATTCATTTGAAAATACCTTACATTTACAATGTAATTTGTTCCCTTTTGTTCATTGCACCTGTCACAACAAGACACATATTTTTAATTTACAATAGATATAGATTTAAGATATAATATCAAGCCTTCTGGAATTGTACAATAACAGTTAAAATTTGTTCGAAAACATCCGTATATTGTTATTTATTCCTACCTGAAATAGAATAATTTCACCTGTCACAAAAAGAGACATATTTGCAATTTACAATATTTGATTATTATAAACTTGCCATAAATGCTTTTAAAACAACCCTTTCTGTGGCTATTGTAAGCAAAAATTTCAAATACACACTGGTTTGATATATCAAGCACACACAATTTACTTAGGCAGGTGTTAAGATTTGACTGCATGAAAAATTAAGATATCAATACCGTACTTCATTAGATACCGTATATGGAGAACCCATCATAGCAGAATGAGAAATGAGAAGGCGGTGTCTCGCTCCTAAAAACTCCTAAAAAGGTCACTGTGACCTCACTTTGACCTTTATCTCGATTACTGACATAATTTATACGATTATCAAACACATTGTTCGTTGGTTGGTTGTTCAAGCTTTGACATCCTATCAACAGATACATATACGTATCGCCATCTAGGACAGGTATAATTTGTCTCAATCCCAGACCTGTAGGGGTGAATTACCCGACAAACCACAATCAATTAGCAAAACAGGAGCAGCATCATCATTCCTTATCCTGATCATCATATAGAATGTTGTGGAGTCATACATGGAGTCTAATTTTTAGTTTTTTTTTTTTTTTGTTTTTGTTTTTTTTGCTTTAAATACATAATCAGCTTTGGTCTATTAGGGACAAGCCAGGTTAGGATGGCGGACCAAAACTGCAGCACCCGGAAAACACACGGACACTTTAAGATTTATCATGCTTGTGTCGCATTATTGTATAATACTTTCAGGGAATAATTACTTACCATGATATTCATTTCTGAGAGAAAAACTTTATATCTAAATTCAAATGCAGATTTACTCAACGAGCCCTGTATCCAAACTAATTTTTAGCGGTGTCATATTTTATTACATTTGGTAATGTTATAATTTGAATGTCTTCTTTAATATTAAATTATTACTAGGGATCTGCATTTCCCTGTTGTAATCAACGTGCCTTCAGTCTGTCAGTTTATCCGTCCCTCCACACTTCCGTTTCCGGAGATTATCTCTGAATCCAAAAGACTTCTCTTTCTGAAATTTGACAGGGTGAATCACTGTGATTTTTATATTTGCAATAGATATTTCAATCGTGTTTAAGGTCACTGTCACTGTTATTTAAGAAATAATCAACGGTTATACTATATGTGTGTATTACGGTGGAATATATCAGGAGAGTGAGAAAATGCTTTCAATAGGCACTGCCCTGCAGATGGGGCGCAAAAATTGTACCTGCTGGCCCCATTGTATGATCTTAAGAGGCGTCTAAATTTGAGATCTCATCTTTTCTCTTCTTTCTAAACAACGTTCTTCTTTCTAATTGACCAACTAATGCCTCACTTTTTGCCTTTAGTTGAGCGTTTTCCCATGTTAGGAAGGTTTTGGGTTCTGTCCCCTGGCCTAGACATACCAGAGTCTGTAAAAATGGTAGTTTCCACTCCTGCTTAACGCACAGCAATTAAGGAGTAGGACGACTGGTTCGCCCGTTGTCAGTATAATGTGACCGGGTGGGGTGTCCTGCCGGTTGTCTTCGGCAGTATGTTTCAGTGAGGTAGCACTATACAGTCGGCATCAGTTCCCCTATTGGGCTCCTCCCTTCTGCCCCCAGGGGGGGGG